GGCCACACAGGGCCCAGGGAGGGCGGGGAGGAAGAGGAGGCGGATGCCAGGCCTACCGAGCCTTCCCCTGGGAGCCTCCATCATCCGCCCTGGCCAGAGCGGTGGGGGAGATTGGCAAAGCTGGTGACCCGTGGTGACATCCAGAGACACTGACCTCACTGGACTCTGTCTTCCCCCACACGAGGGGGCTGGCCCAGGCACAGACAGACACACAGACAGACTCTACAGGGCTGGACTGGGAAGGTAATTCCGGGGGTGGCAGGTCCCCGCCTGACCAGAGCGCAGTGGTAGACGAAGTGGCTGAGGGAGCGGAGGCCGAGGTGCCCGCTGGCTGCCGAGGCTTTGGTGGCATTCTCAGGGAGGGCGTCAGCTCTCGGAAAGTGGGCTTGTGGCTGCACTTGACCTCCCTGCTGGACCAGGGCGCACAAGCTGCATCCATTGGATGGGGCTGTGGAGAGTGCCGGGACCCAGGACTCTCCCCGCTGCAGCAGCAGCCTCGCCCTGGGTGGGACAGTGCCTGGCGTGTTTACCTGACCCTCGCTCTTTGCCCTTCTCCAGAGAGAACACGCACTTTCACATCTGCCTTCAGATGCAATGGCGTGGCGGGGGCGTGCGGCCTTAAAAGGCCTCAGTGTTTATTCCACACGGGCTTCTAAAGCTTAAAAACAGGAAAGTGCTTGCAAGAGGGTCACTGCTGAGGCTACTGTGGGTCTGTCCACCCTCCATCCTCTTCCTTTCAACTACGGGCCTGGGTCCCAGGAGACACGAGGAGGACCACCCGCCTTGCCGAAAGGCCATGAGCGTGGGGGCTCTCTGTGAGCTTTCAGAGGCACCTGCCTGGAAGCTGCTTGCCCGAGTCTGCCAGGTCTGCAGGTTCACAGCGGGAGCCCCTTCCCTGAGCCTGAATGCAGCTGTGGGTTCTCCGCTGTGGGCTCCCTGGGCAGACGGGGCAGGAGGCCTCGCTCCTGCTTCACAGGTCTGGAACCTGTGACCTGCCCAGCTGTGCGGCCCCGGAGCTGGGACTTTGGCTTGGGTTTCTCACTCCGGGGCCAGTGTCTGTCCACGCTGAGCGAAGTCACAGTGCGGGGCCTGAGGACAGCCACGTGGACATTCCTGCCCCGGAGTAGCTGTTGTCAGGGTGCGAGCAGGCTGCCCTAGCATTCCAGGCCTTCCTGTCTCAAACTCTTCCCGGTGGTTCTGTTGGCTCTGCCTGGGTGACTGTCCTCTGGGATGAAGATCCCCCCCCCAGTAACAGGGAGCCAGGCATCGGCCCGCGCGCTGCTTGCTGGCTGCGTGAGCCAAGCTCACTGAAGGCAGGAAGCAGCACGTGATCTGATCCCTCTCCTGCCTTCCTAGCCGGGAAATGGGATCTGAAATCAACTCTGATTTAACAGGATTGTGAGGCCTAGACCGTGGCCGGATGGTTGTAGCAACACACGATCTCACAGAACTAAGCAGACACCATGTGCTCAGCGCTGGGTCGGGCACTGGGGGAGCTAGGACGACACTGGTGTGGAGGGAGGCAGGGCCCTGTCCTTCAGGTGGGGGATTAAATAAATGGTGGTTTTACCATCTGTAGGCAAGATTGGCCACATACTTGTCTGAATTTAAAAATGTCTGATATATATATAATGTGACTAAGTGCTAACTGTAGACTCTCCAGAACATTCAGAGAAGGGCAGGGTGGTCATACTGGGACTTCTTGGAGGAGGACTTGGAGCCACTGGATTAAAATAGTGGGCTTTTTAAAATCCTCAGAATCCTTTCTTCAAATGACAGTTTAGGTTCATTCAGGATATAGGACATGTGTACCAGGGGCTGGGCAGCCGGGCTTGCCCCTGGTATCCCCCCACTGCTCGCATCTCTCATGGCCCACCCAGGAAGCACGGCGCTCTGATGTGGCTGTGGCCCATCGTGTGGGCCCAAGAGCGTCTCCCACCAGCCTGGGTGGCCACCAGCCTCCTCCGGCCACTGTTTGAAGAATCGATCCCCCCACCCTGGCAGATGGGATGGAGGATAGTCCTGAGTTCTGGCAGGCCTGAGGGTCTGATGGTCTTGGAGAACAGCACTGTTGCTCCTTCAGAGGGAGCAGAACTGTATGCTGGTCGCTGTTGCAAGAAGGTGAGAAGGTGGGAAGTGTGCAGATGAGCATATCCTGACGCAACGAAGTCTGTCCTGGAGGGGTGTGTGTACAGCCCCCTTGGGAACACAGTCAGAGGGTGACATCTGCCTAGGACTTGGCCAGATGTTGGAGGGGGAAGGGTGAGCCCCAGCAGCCTGTCCTGCAGTTCAGGGAGCTGCTACTGTGCATCTGAGCAGTGCACAGCCCGCCCCAGGCCATGAGGAGGGGTGACCGGAGTGAAAGGTGGCACACGGGCATTTGCACTGATGTCATAGATACTCGGGACAGGCTTGCTGTTGAGGAAGGTCTCACTGGCCGTGCTGAAGGCGACACTAAGGAAACCTCAGGAGCTCATCTGGAGCCTCCCAGGATCTCGGCGTGAAAGGCCTGAGCAGCCCAGAAAGGATGTGCTTGGGTTGAGAAATTCTGCTCTGGGTCACTCATGCTGATGGAATGTCAGCGGCCTGTGTTGGTAGCAGTCCCTGTCACGCCAGCTCATTTCTGTTCCAGGCCCGTGATTGGCCAGGTCTGCCATGGCCCCAGCCTGGCTCTCGGGGATGCAGGGAGCAGAAGGGGCAGGCACCCTAGCAGAGAGGAGATGCTGAAGAGGGGGCCGGCATGTTGGGGGAGACTGGGTGTTAGGGGAATGCTGCAGGGCTGGTCCGTCCAGAAGCTGTCCCTGACCCTCCCATCCCAGACCTGCCCTGGGGACTCTGCTGCCTCAGGGGAGGGGCAGCCTTGGCATGGATTTGAGCCTGGTAGTTTCCTCCTCCCCCAGGGCGGGCTTTCACTCCTCACCCACACCGCAGCTCCAGCCACTGCCCCGGCCATGCTGCTCCTCTGTCCCCCACTCCTGACCTTCTCCCATCTCACCCTCCTGTTTATCACATACCAGCAAGAACCCTTCTCTGTTTTTACCTGGTACTGAGTCTGATCCCAAAATCCAGCATCTGAGTCTCTGGGCCAGTTGTCGTTTGTAGCACTGCTGTTACCTTGAAGGCAGAAACTGTCGCCAACGTCATGTTCCCTAAAGCAGAGGCTCCAGCACCTGTGGAGTGTTGGGCCCTTGGAGATCTGGGAAAGGGGAGCAGGGTGGGAGGGCCAGTTCTCCCAGCAGCTGCCCACTGGGGGGCTGAGACCACACTCAGCTCAGGCCTGTGTAGGCCGCACTGTGGGGTCATGGTTTATGCCCTGGGGACCTTGTGGGTCAGCAGGGCATCCTGAGTGTCTGGGAAGGCTCCCTGAGGGAGGTGAGGTTTAAAGTCCATCATGAGGAATGGGTGGAAATGGAGAGGAGAGGCCATGTGGAGGTGGGGGTGGTACCCTATGCACAGGGTACAAAAGGCATGTTTGAGGAAATGTGAGAAGGAAAAATATGCTTGCCCAGACCCCAAAACCCCTCATCTAAAAAGAGGACTGGGGCACATTCCACCCTCTTCATTCTCTACCAACAAGTCGCAATCTAAGAAAAACAAGGTATGAGGAGAAAGGATCAAAGTGAGGCGATCAAAGTCCTTTGTGAGCCTGG